TTTCTACGTTGTTTGTAATGTAACGAGCGCCTGTTCTCAACTTCAATGCCTCATAAATACATATTTTTTTGTTAAATTAAAGAAACAAAATACGTATTTAATATTATCAGACAGTCGGATTAAATACAATTTATTTTTTCACCTAGGCATCATACTAGTCATGTTGTTAATAAGGAAGTATTTTAAGAAAAAAAAAAGAAAGTACTAAAAAGCACCTCACTAGTTGACGACTCTACCAAAAATTGATTTTTGAATAAAACGGTTGGACAAAAATTAACATTTCCGTTCCTTTTAACTTAACATATTATAAAAACTGTAATTTGCAATTCAAAACTTAGATATCAATACAAATACGAAAAAACTTGAAAATTAATTTACTTTTATACATGAAAGAAAACCGGAAGGGTTGTCATGGAGAAATCAAGAAAATACCGTAGCGACATCTAGTTTGATTTCGGGAATTACTGTTTTTTTAATACTTCCTCATTATGGTGTGCAATAAAATATCCATTCATTCATCACCAGCATATTAATATCCCCTCTGTTAGGGCCTTCTTACCTATGAATGAAATCTAATGGGAGCACGGCCTTAACCTGGGCCAGTAGTTATTGGTTGTTAACGAAAGATACAGTCGGAACCGACGGTTTATGGCCCTCTAGCACACCTTCGCTCACGTTCCCTTACAAATATACAACGAAAGTAAAGACGCACTCCCTTGATATGATACATTTTTAATTATAAAAAAACAAATGCAGTTTGTTTGCAGTATTTATTTTTTATATAATTAAGACGAAATATATCAGTCGTAAAATCGACCCAAAATACCTATTTAGAGAGTCATCTTTGCGATTGATGGATCATCAAATATGTTTTTATTTGATGATTTTGTAAATTTTAATTAAATAAATATTTGCATTTGGTTTAAAAAAAATTAAATTTTGTAAAACCTGGTTTTAACGTGTCAGAGCACCGAGGAGTGAAATGCTCTGATGCACTTAACCAATTGTCGGTGCGTCAAAAATTAACAACAAACCTACATTCCAATAGCCCGCCACAAAAAGATATTCTGAAAAAAGATGGCGTTGAAAACAGTCCTCATTTTGTTACTATGAAGTTTGCATTCATCTCCGTTATGAGTATTATTATTCTATGGTTTATATACATGACGAATTCGTTATATGTGCACAGACCCTAACCTACGTTAAAAACTCTTTATTACTTACCCTCATAATTCTTACAATAAAACATATCGCCGAAACAATGGTTGATGAACGTAAAATATTTAAAATATTTCCCTTCGCCCCTATTGACGGTCATGCATACAGGCGAGTAAACGTCCGGACAGCTGTTCGGGCAGCGGTGGTCATCGAATGAGTCCTCAATATTGTATTTAGGTTTCTTAGATGTTTTCGATCTTAGACTCGATTCTGAAATGTTGAACATTGGTAAAGGGAAAAGAATCGAATTACGGCCATTTGTATTATTCGAATGGAATGTGAGCATCCTTGTCTTCACTTAGCTGTCACTTTGACTTTGACATTTAACTAGTTTCGCGCCACTTTAATTAACCTAGGAAAAAGTGCTATTTTTTCGAGTTGTCATAGTTTTAAAAATAATAATTAAAGTTTCTTGATATATTTAAATTAGTGGAATAGTTATATTAGCTGTTTTTACGCGATTTCGCCTGCGTAAAATATCTAGTATTTCACCCGGGTTTGATGTACCCGGTTTGATGTACGTTCCCATAGGTGAAAGAATTTTTGAAATCAATTCAGTAGTTTCGGCACATATTGCTTGTTAACAATAAATCCATTTTTTTCTCTTTATAATAATAATATAACTTAGTACATGCAGAGTAGTATGCAGACTATGGTAGTTACAAGCTTAACCCACGGACGCCCAGTCCAAACCTAAAGCTTATGTCAATAAAAAATATCTACCTACTTGTTAAGACTCTCATAGAGTTGTTTCCAAACGTTGACTTATTGGTTTTCGTAAATGTTTCATTATATTTAGTCGAGTTATTTAAAATTGTAACCGATGCAGTGCTGTTTGCGTTTATGCGTCGTTTTATCGTCTTTTTATGGTTCTTCAGATACACATCACATGATCCTGCTTGTACTATGTGGAACTCTAAAATACAGAACCAAAGACTTCTCGTGTAGGTAAGGTGAAGCAGTGTTACAAAAAAAATGACAATGTGACAATAAAACATTGATTTAATCAACTTGTACGGAACAAGTCCATATTGAAAAAAAAAAAACTGACTCGTATATAAACTATAACAACATCTCTTTACTCAAAATTATTATAACATGGTTTTTATTACAATAATCTAATTTAAATCACCATATTAATCAGGTAAATCGATTGTTACAATCAGCCCCCTGTTTTGGGTACTCTGTTACAGGGAAAATTCTTTTATTTTCGGGAATAAATAAAAATCCCAAGGTGCGAGGTTACAGTAGTAGAGGTATTCAAATGAATAACTGACGTTATGTTTACAATAAATTACTAAACGATAATGTGAAGTCAAATAAAACGGTTACTAGAAGAAAATTGTAGTGATTTACCAAAGTACATAGTGCAAAAGATGTATAACAAAAATGAGAAACCTTAACACGATTGTTCATCGTTAAGTCGTACACATATTAGTTTGTAGTAAATAACTTAAATACACTGTATAAACTGAGGCAATATCAACTAATTCAAGATGGCCGTCTAGAAGTTTGTCAAGGCTGTATACCGATTAGCAAAATCAATGACAGGGATTGAGATATGTGCATTGTTACAGTGTGCCCCTTGTAACACTGTTCCCCCCTTATCCAATATTTTATATAGAACCGTTTTTTATAGCCATACTTAAAGGATGGGTGATAAAAAAAATATTATGTCTCACTCCTCCGTGCCTCGGAAGGCACGTTAAGCCTTTGGTCCAGGCCGCATCTCCAATTAACATCCACCAATCGGCACTATGCACAATGGTTACTGTGGTAACGTTTCCATGCCCTATACAGACTTCCACTCCTATTTCCATCCCTTTATTTGACGTTTTAAAATATAGCCCATGTCCACCGCTTCTGATGTAGCTTCCACAAGGTGAAAGAATATTTAAAATCAGTCCAGTTGTTTCGAAGCTTATTCGTTGCAAACTAACTAACAATCAAATCTTTTTTCTTTATAATATTAGTATAGATTAAGTAGAAAATATGACCAAAAGAAATTAGGCATAAAAAGATTCAGTTTAGAGTCAGAAGGGAGTAGAATCGCTTTATACGATATTATTTTTCTAAAAACAAAATAACAGATAATATTTCCGATAAATACCGGTCTTACCTTGGCCATCGTATTTACATAAATTATCCAAAAACAAATAGCACGTGTTATCGAAAGGTTTGTATTCTGGACTATGATTTATCACTCTCATTGCGCAAACTGAATTAGAGTCTGATTTACATATTAAATCTTTTTGTTTACAAACTTCTAATTTAACATTATCATAGTTTTCAGGCTCCGAACCAACCGTAATATTTAGATCAGGGATTCTATAGCGGCGCAATTTAACACAATCAAAACAACTTGGAAATATTAACATTAATCTAAAAACAACATGTAATAGTGCCATAATTAAAGTTTTAATGAATCATTTGCCATTGGAAACTCATTAGGAATTTTATTAGATTTTTATAGCAAAATTAATTAAAGTTGTAGGTAAATCAGATAAGTATACGAGTACCAAAATTTGAGGGTATGTAAACTAATTTGTTATTGGACAGCTCGATTCTTTATTCAATCGCATGTCAAGTGCCATTGTATTGATTGAGACATCTGGAGAAAGTGGGGAAAAATAAAACATGTTTTTATTTTCTTTCTTTTCTTGGTCGGGCCGAGAACTTTTCAAACTATCCTCGTAATGCGTGGCTCGTAAGTTGAACCAAGATAGCGATCTACCATAGGATACGCAATGGCGGACTAACCTTTTTGTTTTTTTGTTGTGTTACTCCGGGTCGCCAGCGCGGCGGCTAACCAGCAGTTATGTGGGGCTCCCCCCTGCGGACCCGCCCCAGAATGGGGCTAGTCAAAGAGCAGGGTTATACCCACTCAAACCCAGCGATGTCCCTCGCATGGAAGGCGGTGCACGGGATCAGCCCTGAGGCGGACTAAACTCATCGGAGGCCCGGGGCGGCAATAGGTCCTGACCTGATCGACAACTTTTTCCAACCCAGGCAGCATGTTGATTTTGCTATATCTTTAATTCAGTATTGATATTAAATTTCATGAAACTCGTAAAGATTTTCGTTTTTGATTAAAAAAGTTTAGTTAATATTTCGGCAATCATAAAATCTGTCACGCAGACTTCGAAAGTCTTATAATGCCTTCAACTACTCAAAAAATGTGCGATGTGTTTAGGGCTACCAGATCCAGACTGATCATTTCCCGGACAATTTTGGTGCCACGAACCAGAACCACAGGTTTGGTCTCCAGTCCGAGGCTAAACTACGTAGGAATTACCTAGAATTATTTCGTTGATGAAAGAAGAAAATACTTTTTTGGAAAAATCTTTTTAATTACTTTCATAAACTGTTAAATGCAAAAAATGTATTCAACTTTTGTAATTAACTTTTTAAGGCTTAAATATTGACATGAATACTTTGTGGAAAAAAAGAACTAGTATTTTTCGATTCCGGGTCAGCACAGAAAACGTAATGGACACGGGACAACACGCAAATTCCGGAACAATCCCGGAAATATCTGGCAAATCTAGATGTGAATAGTTTTTTACGGTGAACGCCTTAGTTCTCTCCATTTCTTTGTCATGTGAAAGTATCAGATTATCTATCTTGTAGTTAGTAAAAGTTTCAAATTTTGATTCAAATCTTAAATTATTTGCAAGCAGGTCTCAAATATCTGCAAGGGTTCGAATGTTTGATTTATATTTGTGTTCAGCACGCTTTTGTAAGAGCTCGATTAAAGGTGAAATAAAACTAAACAATTAAACTCAAACTTTATTCAGCAGTCTCATAGCTTCTCTATGCCCTGTATCCACAGCTCCGTGTACTGTCGCGAAATGGGTCACGTCCGTCGCCTCACCGGCGAATAGTACAATGGGCGCGCCGTCCGCGTCTGTGATTGGCTCCGCCAGATCCGCGCGTGCGGTCGGGTGGTGGGGGTAGTCTACATCATCGTACGTGTAGCTGCCGCGGGTGAACGGGTTTGTATGCCATTGTGACCTTGATAATATCAATAAGGGTGTAGACAACTTTTATATTTTTATTTTATAGATATACATGAAATATATTAAAAGTATAATTCGTATATTTAATTAAAATCTAAAAATAATTTTAATTGTTATATTTAATCAAAAGGTCATAGTTCGAATTTTTTGTCAAGAATACTCTTCAGTATAGCATTGTGAAAGCGAAATTGATAATATATAATAATTAGAACAAATTTTTATCTTTGTCTAAAGTTTAAATATTTGTAAAAATATTAGAAAATACAAGAATTTGTCGATAAGATATTGCAGTTTTTAATCGGTATATCTAGATTAGATTTTTAATGGTAGGTCCAGTGTTTTGCCTAGGGCGCCTAGTTTCAATGAGATTGCGCAGAAAATAGCACATCTGATTTGTTTCTTAGAATCGATATTATATTATCTAAGTAATCGAAGTATAATTTTTTAATTTTAACTAAAAATCATATAAACCTTATCATCGCTAATGGTTCCGGTATTGTATAATTTGCTCCTAAGAATCTTCTTAATAAGCCCATTGCCTTCTGTTTCACTTCATCTTCAGGGAGGTTTTCCATCTGTAAGATGATGAATGATCTATACAAACATTATTAACAGGAAAATTTTAATTGTTTGCATCGAAAAGACTTCGAAACTATTGACCTATTTTAAAAATTCGTTCACCTACGGGTAGCTACGTCATTCGGGGTCGCCATAAGCTAAAATTTGTGTGCAAAGGGTAAATAGCTAGTAACTAGATAGTATAAAACAAAGTCGCTTTCTCTGTCCCTATATCCCTAGGTATGCTTAAATATTTAAAACAACGCAATGGATTTTGATGCGGTTTTTTTTTTTCATAGAAAGGGTTGTTCAAAAGGAAAGTTTTTATGTATAATACAAGACCACGTGGGCGAAGCCGCTGGCGGCTAGTAAAGTATAAAGTAGAAGAAATTTGCCTACATAGACGTTGCTTTGATGGGTGGCACGTTGTTGAATCAAAGTAGCGATTTTCCGCGCAGATTCTGAGGCCTAATTGTCTAATTTTAACATCTATCGCAATTCCTTTCAATTCGACGTTTAAAAGATATTCACGAACTTTACGCTACATATATATTTTTACAAAGATATTGAATGAACGGTATTGACGATTTAACCTTAATTGATAAGGTACCACAACACCCAGACCGGAGACAATATAGAAAAGTTCACTTTCTATATTGACGCGACCAGGAATCGAACCCGGGACCTAAGAGATTGTGACACCTTGATATCGGAGTGCGAATCACGGACTGAGATCGTTCCTAATATCACTATAATTTTTAAAACTGTAGCTCGTTGGCGTAGTGGATAAGCGCCCTGGCCAGCAGTCATTGCTGTTAAGCAATTTTTGCAAGGGTCGGTCACGGGATGGGTGACCGGAAAATTAATATCTCGAGCCACTCCATGCTTCGGAAAGCGCGTTAAGCCGTTGGTCCCGGCTGCATTTGAAGTCGTTAATAGCTTCCAATCCGCACTGGGCCATGCTACTTAACCATCCACAAGGAAGGCCTGAGCCTCTGCATTAGGAACGTAATGGGCTGATGATGATGAATCTTTAATACTGACCATCACTGCATAATCTCCTGTAATCCACAGACTCAACACATTGCTAGCTCCCATCGGACGACTAATTACTGGAATTTTTGTGAGCCACAAATCTTCTGACGCCTTGTCTTTCGTCCTCCAAATCAAATCAAAGAAATTGGTCTCTCCCCACCAACGTGTCGGGAATGAGAACATAATTTTCCCCTCAACACCCATCTTGATATTGTTTATGGCGTCCACTTTTTTCTTTGACAACGACGGCACAAACATAGATACATGTCTGTGAACAAAACCGATCTGAACTTGTATGGATAACCATTTTATTTTTTTTTTATTTTATTATAATTTTTTTTATGGGATAGGGGGCAGACGAGCAGACGGATCACCTGATGGTAAGTGATTACCGTCGCCCATGGACACCTGCAACACCAGAGGGGCTACAAGCGCGCTGCCGGCCTTGGAGGGAAAAGTTGAGGGGTAGAGGGAAGGGAATAGGGAGGGGTTGGGCCTCCGGTACCCTCACTCACACGACGAAATACAACGCAAGCGTTGCTTCACGTCGGTTTTCTGTGAGGCCATGGTATCACTCCGGTCGAGCCGGCCCATTCATGCCGAAGCGTGGCGTGAATTAAAAAATATATATATTTTTACTCGTTACAAGTGCTTTCGAATCTTCCAACATTTTTTTCCTTAGCATTCGTTCAGCAGACCAATTGTCAGCTATAAACTCTAGCCATAGTATACGACATCTTAGCCAAAGAACACAGAAAGCTGTTTTAAGTGATCTTAGCGATGTTGAAGTTTTTCATTCCATTACTTCAACATGCACTTTATTAACGACGCAAGAATAATGAAGGATGTTGAGTATTTATCCATAAAAAGACATGTCAAAGTCATAAAATGAAAATAAATATCGTCTTATATGTTAAAATGCAGGTAGCTGAGGTTCTATTGAGGGATTGGCCTACAGCCCTTTTGTAAAAATCCAAACCCGAATTCGTATTCACTCAACCTTGAATTGGCAATAACGTTTCGTGGCATAAGTGAAGTGAGTTTCGAAATGACATAGGAATAGAATATCTGAGACACGTATCCGATCAATTTTGTTTTGTATTTTTATACTTAAAATGGAATCAAAGGATTTCTACACTAAATGACGTGAATTCGGAGACATGAGTGAATTCGAATTCGGTTCTGGATTTTTACAGAGACACAGCTGGCATTAAAGTTGGCAGTTTTATAGTTCTTATGTAGTAAAAACAATAAAAAAAATCTAAACCTGTCTTTCAGAACGGCCACCGAGACCGTAACGATAACGTTATCAGCTGTGAATGAGCGGCCATCTTTGCATGTGACAACAACCTTTTTGCTAGTGCCCTGCGTCCAATCTATGCGTGTCACCTCAGTGTTCAAATAATATTTCAAGTTCTGCAGCCCTGTTCCATTTTTATAAGTGTTCTGTGAAATAATATATTATTTGGAAGACCGACACCCGGTTTTATTAGAATTTAAGGTCGCAGTAACTACAGAACCGCATGGCCCTTTATTACCACACATAATAATAAGTCACCCCGTTTCTGAATTGAGAATTTAAAGTTAAACACTTCTCATATCTCAAAATTTACAGCAAATTGATAAAGCTATGCCTTTTTGCCATGTGAAACGTAAGAAACTTAAGTTATTGAGAATAATGAGTTGAGATTTAATACTTGTCTCAATTCAGAAACCAACCGAAATACTTAGCCGACATCCGACTTCCGAAGAATGGTCAAATATACACTTTATATTGACACGAAATTTCACTTGGATATTATAAGAATATTATTTATTTAAATGAGATTACAAATCAAGACGAGGGCCATAGGCAATTTTAATTACTTTATGCAACTATTTTTAAGGAATATTTCAACAAAACGTATATTTCTTTTTAATTTTGTCACTATTTTTTATCAAAAATAGGGACAATATAAAACAGAAATCGGAACGCGGGATAATGTCATTAAAATCGGGACTTTTCCGGAAAATTTCGGGATGTTGACAACCCTACTCTTAGGGCCATAACCTTAACAACATTGATTTCATATTTCTTTACAATATGTACTGATTTTCTCTGCTTATTTATTAATAACGCCTTCCACGCTTCCTCTTACAAACTAATTCTCAATATTGCGTAGTGATTTAAAAGAACTAATTGAAATAGACATTTATTTATTTATTTACTCACTCTTTATTGCTTCTAATAAAAGACACATGGCGGAATGAATGCCAAGGGCATTCTCTACCAGTCAACCTGGAGGCCTACTCGCTTTCTCGAAAACGAAATTTCGTTTACGAACGAAATTAAAACGAAATTCGCATGGAACGCTACTCTTTATCATTTTCGTATACGCCAACGAATGTTCGTTTCCAAAGACAATTTTCGTGATCGATTGGAGTGAATGGCGTTATTGGATTTCTTATAATGTCAAATTCCGGTTTTTACCGTAACTTGAAATATATAATATTAAACAATACATATATTTCTTTTAAATAAAATTTTTGTGGCTAAACATTGTTTAAACATAAAATATTATAATAATATAACGAAAAACTTAGTATATTAATGAATTTTATTTTTCGTTACAACTTATCAACACACTATAAGAACTCTTTTATCCACAGTATTAACCGACATATTTAAAAACAACCTTTCATTTATACGATGGCTATAATCAATGTATGGCAATCTTAAATATCCGTATAATACAAACGATTCTCATCCCGCCAAAAGTTTTAAAAGTTTTCACCAAACTGTTCAGTGTTTACTAATATTTTATTTAATTATTGTGAGTTCCGAAATTTATCTTGACAATTCAGTAAAAAACTTTATAAGTAAGTATGAAAGTAATATTTAGTTTTTCGGCACAAAAAAAGGTTTTTAGTAATAAATTTACTTTTTATCAGTCATATTTTTCAGGTATAATGGCATAGCCTATATGTCTCGTAAAATCTGTTATATTAATGACATAATTCTATAGGTAATTATTCACAATTCATACATAAAGCCAAAATAAACAATAAACTATTAGGTACTCACTGTCTCGTAATAAGATTCCTTTCATTTTGGTTTTGAGGGAAAAATATATTTTCTTATAATACCTATCTGGTGAATTGAGGACAGTCCTAACCTCCTAACACCGTGAAACTAAAAAACACATACATACCTTATCATCGCTAATGGTTCCGGAATTGTATAATTTGCTCCCAAGAATCTTCTTAATAAGCCTATTGCCTTCACTCTCACTTCATCTTCAGGGAGATTTTCCATCTGTAAGATGATGAATGATCTATACAAACATTATTAACAGGAAAATTTTAATTGTTTGCATCGAAAAGATTTCGAAACTATTGACCTATTTTAAAAATTCGTTCACCTACGCGTAGCTACGTCATTCGGGGACGCCATAAGCTAAAATTTGTGTGCAAAGGGTAAATAGCTAGTAACTAGATAGTATAAAACAAAGTCGCTTTCTCTGTCCATATATCCCTATGTATGCTTAAATCTTTAAAACAACGCAACGGATTTTGATGCGGTTTTTTTTTCATAAAAAGGGTTGTTCAAAAGGAAAGTTTTTATGTATAATACAAGACCACGTGGGCGAAGCCGCTGGCGGCTAGTAAAGTATAAAGTAGAAGAAATTTGCCTACATAGACGTTGTTTTGATGGGTGGCACGTTGTTGAATCAAAGAAGCGATTTTCCGCGCAGATTCTGTTGCCTAATTGTCTAATTTTAACATCTATCGCAATTCCTTTCAATTCGACGTTTAAAAGATATTCACGAACTTTACGCTACATATATATTTTTACAAAGATATTGAATGAACGATATTGACGATTTAACCTTAATTGAAAAGGTACCACAACACCCAGACCGGAGACAATATAGAAAAGTTCGTTTTCTATATTGACGCGACCAGGAATCGAACCCGGGACCTAAGAGATTGTGACACCTTGATATCGGAGTGCGAATCACGGACTGAGATCGTTCCTAATATCACTATAATTTTTAAAACTGTAGCTCGGTGGCGTAATGGATAAGCGCCCTGGCCAGCAGTCATTGCTGTTAAGCAATTTTTGCAAGGGTCGGTCACGGGATGGGTGATCCATGCTTCGGAAAGCGCGTTAAGCCGTTGGTCCCGGCTGCATTTGAAGTCGTTAATAGCTTCCAATCCGCACTGGGCCATGCTACTTAACCATCCACAAGGAAGGCCTGAGCCTCTGCATTAGGAACGTAATGGGCTGATGATGATGAATCTTTAATACTGACCATCACTGCATAATCTCCAGTAATCCACAGACTCAACACATTGCTAGCTCCCATCGGACGACTAATTACTGGAATTTTCGTAAGCCACAAATCTTCTGACGCCTTGTCTTTCGTTATCCAAAGCAAATCAAAGAAATTGGTCTCTCCCCACCAACGCGTCGGGAATGAAAACATAATTTTCCCCTCAACACCCATCTTGATATTGTTTATTGCGTCCACTTTTTTCTTTGACAACGACGGCACAAACATAGATACATGTCTGTGAACAAAACCGATCTGAACTTGTATGGATAACCATTTTAGTTTTTTTTATTTTATTATTTTTTTTATGGGATAGGGGGCAGACAAGCAGACGGATCACCTGATAGTAAGTGATTACCGTCGCCCATGGACACCTGCAACATCAGAGGGGCTACAAGCGCGCTGCCGGCCTTGGAGGGAAGGGTTGAGGGGTAGAGGGAAGGGAATAGGGAGGGGTTGGGCCTCCGGTACCCTCACTCACACGACGAAATACAACGCAAGCGTTGCTTCACGTCGGTTTTCTGTAAGGCCGTGGTATCACTCCGGTCGAGCCGGCCCATTCATGCCGAAGCGTGGCGAGAATTAAAAAATATATATATTTTTACTCGTTGCAAGTGCTTTTGAATCTTCCAACATTTTTTTCCTTAGCATTCGTTCGGCAGATCAATTGTCAGCTATAAACTCTAGCTATAGGATACGACATCTTAGCCAAAGAACACAGAATGCTGTTTTCTGTGACCTTAGCGATGTTGTAGCGCTTTTCATTCCTCGATATGCACTAACTAATACTAATAACGACGAAAGAATAATGAAGAATGATGAGTATTTATCCATAAAAAGACATGTCAAAGTCGTAAATTGAAAAGAAATATCGTCTTATATGTCAAAATGCAGGTAGCTGAGGTTCTATTGAGGGATTGGCCTACAGCCCTTCTGTAAAAATCTTCTGTAAAAATCAGGTATCTGAAAGCACTTCAAAAAGCGGCATCCGCTCAACCTTGAATTGATAATAACGTTTCGTGGGATAAGTGAAGTGAGTTTCGAAGTGACATAGGAATAGAATATCCGAGACACGTGTATTCGATCAATTTTGTTTTGTATTTTTATACAAAAAATTAAACCACTAGAATTTCTACACTAAATGACGTGAATTTGGATCGGACACATGAGTGAATTTGAATTCGGGACTGGAGTTTTACAGAGTCACAGGGCTGGCACTAAAGCTAGACAGTTTCATAGTTCTTATGTAGTAAAAACAATAACAAAAAATTTAAACCTGTCTTTCAGAACGGCCACCGAGACAGTAACGATAACGTTATCAGCTGTGAATGAGCGGCCATCTTTGCATGTGACAACAACCTTTTTGTTAGTGCCCTGCGTCCAATCTATGCGTGTCACCTCTGTGTTCAAATAATATTTCAAGTTCTGCAGCCCTGTTCCATTTTTATAAGTGTTCTGTGAAATAATATATTATTTGGAAGACCGACACCCGGTTTTATTAGAATTTAAGGTCGCAGTGACTACAGAACTGCATGGCCCTTTATTACCACAAATAATAATAAGTCACCCGGTTTCTGAATTGAGAATTTAAAGTTAAACACTTCTCAAATCTCAAAATTTACAGCAAATTGATAAAGCTATGCCTTTTTGCCATGTGAAACGTAAGAAACTTAAGTTATTGAGAATAATGAGTTGAGATTTAATACTTGTCTCAATTCAGAAACCAACCGAAATACTAAGCCAACATCCGACTTCCGAAGAATGGTCAAATATACACTTTATATTGACACGAAATTTCACTTGGATATTATAACAATATTATTTATTTAAATGAGATAACAAATCGAGACGAGGGCCATAGGTAATTTTAATTACTTTATGCAACTATTTTTAAGGAATATTTCAACAAAACGTATATTTCTTTTTAATTTGGTCACTATTTTTTATCAAAAATAGGGACAATATGAAAAAGAAATCGGAACGCGGGATAGTGACATTAAAATTGGGACTTTTCCGGAAAATTTCGGGGTGTTGACAACCCTACTCTTAGGTCCATAACTTTAACAACTTGATTTCATACTTCTTTACAATAAATACTGATTTTTTTATTAATAACGCCTTTCAAACTTCCTCTTACAAACTAATTCTCAATATTGCGTAGTGATTTAAAAGAACTAATTGAAATAGACATTTATTTATTTATTTACTCACTTTTTATTGCTTCTAATAAAACACACATGGCGGAATGAATGCCAAGGGCATTCTCTACCAGTCAACCTGAGCGAAAGTTGGATTTGCTTGTAAGGCGATAAGAATAAAATATTCTGCTAAATTATCATGAATAAATATCGATAGAATTGAAATATACATTGAGAATTCGTGTAAGAGTATGCCAGCACTCACCAATAGTATATCAAAGAGAGTTTTGTAACCGTTCCTATGCCAGCTGAGTGCCTGGTTCCCATCTAAATCCTCAGCCTTGCTGGCTGTGCTCACGTCATTCCAGCTCGTGGTAGCTTCGTATGTGTTGATGATAAGATTCAGATTTTCCAAGATTTCAGCTATGAACTCTTGGTCGTTTAAAATTTCTGGATATTTCACTTCGATATAATTCATAATACTGGTAACAATACATGTAAATAGATATTTTATCCACAGCTTACATTCTTAGGGAATTAAGTTAAGTTCTTGGTTTATACAACTTTAATATTTAAGTACATCTAAAATAATCAAGTCAAGTGCGAGTCAGACTCGCACATGAAGAGTTCCATACTGAAAACGAAGGAAAAAATCACGTTTGTTGTATTAGAGCCTCCTTATTTATTTATTTTATTCTGTTTTTTAGTATTTGTCATTGAAGCGGCAATAGAAATATATCATCTGTGAAAATTTCAACCTTCTAACTTTCACGTTTCATGTGATGTAGACTGGTGACAGACAGACAAAGTCTTCGTAATAGGGTCCCATTTTACCCTTTGGGTACGGAACCCTAATAATGACATTGGTTTATCTCGGACAACAACGATATCGGTATGTGACCCGATATAACGCTAGCAAAAGTAAGTGTGATTAGAAATGTATAATAGAATATTCGAGGTAATAATGGCAGCAGAGAATATGTAAGATTTCCTTTACCTCTTATATTTAATTAAAATTAATTTAATGAATTAATATAAGTTCAAAAAAGGGATTACTTATATTAAACACATTTTTAAACTAACTTTAATTCAAACTGACATGCAATATTAACATATTTACATTTTAATTTCTATTATTATTGACTAATTAGAATTAAACATTGTAATGTATTCATTATAATAAGAGATGAGCCGAATATTCGTTTGATATCCGGTATTCGGCGTATTCGGTCATATATTCGGTTTTGGTGCCGAATATATTCGGTATTCGGTATAAATAAACATTGTAATGTATTCATTATAATAAGAGATGAGCCGAATATTCTTTTGATATTCGGTATTCGGCGTATTCGGTCAAATATTCGGTTTGAGAGCTTATATTTACTTGGCTACACAACACGGTATAGAACGTTAAGACAAAAAATCTTATTAAAAGTAAAAAAAATCCTATTAAATAAAAAAAATATTAATTTTAATAAACTATAGTAAATATTGGTTAACTTCAAACTGAGATATCAATTTGTAAGTGAATATATTTGAGGGGCAAGCTGACAAAATAAACTCTAATTATAACAGAGGTATATAGGGTTTTATTATTTTATCAATTTAGGATTCACAATGCTATACTGGAAAATATGCAAAAAAACAATCCTCCAACCTCCAGTGCTCTTAGATGGGACTAGAACACTAGACAATGTCCACGACGGGTTCGAGTCTTATCTCAGAGTACCTGGGGCTGGTGGATTGTTTAAGCATTTTTCATTAAGTATATAGAGACAGAGAGACACTATAAAAATATAATAGAGATCCGAGATAAAATTAAAAATAATCAAAAAGAAACATACATATTCTAATATGTATAATTAATAAATGGTAAATTATAGTGCAGAAACACCACGCTCTCGGCCCTTTTCGGCAAGAATCTGTTGTATATTTCTTCATATATGTTGCTTGCTTCCAAAATATCTTTCGGTGTACATCCGTTATACTACCAGGAGTGTTGAGAAACACTGTGGCTGAACAAAGACAATGTAGTGATAAACCGAGAACTCGGCCGAATATCCGTTTCGGTTAAGCTTAAACAGAATATTATTCGGTAAAACCTTTATTCGGCGCATCTCTAATTATAATATATAAATATTCTTAATCAATTACATTTTTTTTTATTTGTAAACTAGTATTGTAACACCAATATAGTAAATTATTACATAAATAATATAGAACAATCGCAGTCAAATACATTGCTTACTCTTATTTTCGATAGATGGCGCTGTACCATTGTGAATCGCGGTATATCTTCCTTTTTCGTAAAGTACTAGTGTTAAGAAATTATTTTATTAAATTAAGCTTATACCACTAATGTTGTAAGTGCGTACGTTTGCATCCTGCACTGGAACTTACGGACCACTAACACCCAGTCGCGAAATAAGCATATTGTTGTATTGGTTAGTCCTGTATCGATTATTATAGATCGTAATAAGGAGTTTTTGCGTTTCATTCTTACAATCACAAACACCAGCTGTTATAATTGGCGCCTCAACTCGTGGCTTCAACTTTTGACGACCTTTACCAATGATAAAAGACGAGAACGCCGACACAGAGACTACAATTACGAGTCGTCGTGGATCCGGCCCTTCATACAAAGTAATATCAAAAAGTAAAGATTTGAAGAACCCAAAGCCAAAACCGAAACCAAAAGCTATGGCAGTTACATTTACAGAAGACCAATTTGACAAATTGTTATCAACACTATCGATGCCGAGAACGGGGGGCGCTACTTTTACCTCTTGCCCCGCTTCCTTCGATGGCACGAGAAAATCGGAAACTGTCGAAACATTCTTAGCAACCGTTAACGTTTTTAAGCGTGTTGAAAAAATAAGCGACGAAGAGGCACTTCTAGGAATGCCTCTAATTTTGAAAAAAGAAGCTAGCATTTGGTGGCAGGGTATAAAAAATACCATTCATAAGTGGGCAGAATTTGAAAATTGCTTCCGTCATGCATTTGCTCCTAAAAAACCAGCCTACATAATTTATCAAGAAATTATGCAAGAAAAGCAAGGCTCACAGTCTACAGAGACTTATATTGCACGTAAAAGAATGCTGTTTTCTTTACTACCCGCCCCTCCTCACAGTGAAGCACAACAACTCGACATGTTGTACGGACAGCTTACGATCAACATCCGAGAAAAGATCCCACGCGAATCAGTCAAAACATATGATGAGCTATTGGAAGCAGCCCGTGGGGTCGAAAAAATTCGTGAAGAAATTACAGAAGTGTTTAAACCCCAACAGAAACCTTTGAAGCAAGTTAGAAGTCGATGTAAATTTTGTAGACTACCAGGGCATTCCTTCGAAGACTGTTTGAAAAGACTTAAACAACACCCTACATTGAGACCTATGGAACCACCCATCGCCAAGACAGCCGAAGCAAAAGTTCAAATACCTTCTCCATCTACCCCAAGATACTCCTGTTATGGATGTGGAACACCTGGTGTTGTTAGAAGTAACTGTCCCAACTGCCACAAAACAAAAAGTGAACCTATGACAGGAGACATCGGATTTTGTTCTCTAAACGTCAAGACTGATGCTAGACCAAGACCAGTTGTTTTCATTAAGATTGATGGTATTCAGGGTATAGCTCACATAGATACTTGTGCTAAATCTAGCGTAGCATCCTATAGTTTATATTGCAAACTTAAGGATAAAGGTTACAAATTTCTAAATAGTCAAGTTATTGTTACTTTAGCTGATGGTGTTAGGAGAAAGCAATGTGTTCTGACTGTTGATGTTCCTATTACTCTTTGCGATCGTACAATTATAACTACTTTCCTAGTGCTTCCGGAAGCCCGAAATAACCGTACTTTATTGGGGGTAGGTTTTATACAAGATGCAGGTATAATTCTAAATTTACCTCAGTATACTTGGCAATTCATTGATAGTGATCAAACTTACGAACTCTATAGGGAAGATTTCGTTACTTTTCATGAAGATGCAGTTCAACTATCGCCGGTTGTTTTTCATGATTTAAATGAACCTAATCCACCTGAACCTAGCGCTACCGAAAAAAGTTTATGTCGACCTTATGGCCCTTTAATACCGATGGCATCTACACCTTCAAAGAAAATTAAAACTGACGCATTTATAGGATACTCTCCGGTATTGGACTTGTTGTATCGTGATGCGGAACAAGCAATAACTAATACAGAAGTAACATTGTCCCCCCACTCACAGGATATGTTTCCATGCATTGAATTATCATCAGTGGATGTGCAACACCTGGGCAAAACAAAACCTTTTATTATTAAAACAGACGCGAGTAATTATGCTATTGGAGCAGTATTAGTGCAGGGGGAGAAAGAAAATTTACATCCACCTATACAGCCAATAAAGAAACGTGGGCGGCCACGGAGAAGATCAAAATAAACCTGCATACTTTTTGCATATTGTGGTGCTTCTCTAAATTAGATTTTATCAGGTATTTTTGTTTGTTCAATCATTTGTATTTTTTATTTTTATTATAACTTTAGTGAAAACATTTTCTTAACTATTTCATTCGTCGAGACGTCTTCGGAAATAGAGGGGGAGACTGTAACACCAATATAGTAAATTATTACATAAATAATATAGAACAATCGCAGTCAAATACATTGCTTACTCTTATTTTCGATAGATGGCGCTGTACCATTGTGAATCGCGGTATATCTTCCTTTTTCGTAAAGTACTAGTGTTAAGAAATTATTTTATTAAATTAAGCTTATACCACTAATGTTGTAAGTGCGTACGTTTGCATCCTGCACTGGAACTTACGGACCACTAACACCCAGTCGCGAAATAAGCATATTGTTGTATTGGTTAGTCCTGTATCGATTATTATAGATCGTAATAAGGAGTTTTTGCGTTTCATTCTTACAATCACAAACACCAGCTGTTATAGTATTAAATTTTACTTCAGTTATGACAAAATTTGCTAATGCTGTACACGCTTATTAATGGTGCAAATTATCTTTTGTCCACGCTTCTGACTTTATTAAGACTGACTTTACTTCTGACCTCGTTGGCTATCACTTTCTTGATATTAATTATAAAAAAGAACTGTTTTTATCTTTATGATAATAAATAATATTTATGATGAAATACTGAAGCATCACCCGATATCGGCACGACAATCTGTCGGTGACCATAAAGTTAATCACGTCCAATGAAAGCATCTACATTGGACAGCAAATAGGCGGGCCACGCGCTGCCTTGGAACTCTGATCCGATTTTCTCAAAAAGTGTAAAACTTATAGCTACCAAAGTTGTTGCATCTCATTAAACCTTTTTCTTTTTTAACGTTGTTTTTTTTTCTATTTAACATAACTAACGATTGACACTACTGTAAAACGACCCTTCATTATAAAATGCATAATCAACACTTAATAAATGAAAAAAAATCTAACGATTTTCTATCATTTTCATCGTCATAAAATACACTTTCTG